TTTTTTTTTTTTTTTTTTTTTCTCTGTCTCTCCTCCAAGCTCAGGACTGGAGTCACCGGGAAGCCAGGACGGGAAGCGGTGTCTTCCCAAACACCCGGGCCTGCCCTCTGCTGGGAAAGGGAAGCCGGAGCGGGATGTCCTGCGCCAGCCCTCCCGCCCGCTCCAGCAGCCTGTCCCCGCTCCGGACCACGCTCGTCCCACGCACAAGGCTGCGGCACACGTAGGGTCTTCAGAAAGGCTGGACAGGAGGACCCAGGGAACTCAAAGCCAGTCTGCCTCACCTCAGTCCTTGGAAAAGTGACAGAGAAGTTCATCCTGGAGACTATTTCCAAGTACACGAAGGACAAGAAGGCAGAGGAGCATTCAGTAGGATTCACCGAGGGGAAATCATGCTTAACCAACCTCATAGCCTTCCAAGAGGGCATGACTGGTGGGGTAGAGGAGGGGAGAGCAGGGGATGTTGTCTACCTTGACCTCAGCAAGGCTTTCAACACCATCTCCCCTATCACCATCAGGGAGCAGGTTTGGGAGAGCAGAGAACTGGCTGAGTGTCGGAGCTCAGAGAGTCGTGATCAGCAGCACAAAGTCTCTTTGGAGGCCAGGGTGGCCCCCAGGGTCAATACTGGCCCAGTCTTGCTCAGCTTGTTGATCAGTGACCTGGATGAAGAGCGCAAACCTCAGCAAGTTTACTGAGACAAAACCAAGCTGAGCGGCCAATACTCCCTGGCACTGATGTGGGCTTGGACCCCGTGACAGATGGCCCCAGCGCAGCCCCTTGGGCACTGAGAGGAACGGGAGATGCCTGGGACAGCGGCTGCAATGCTGCCCGCGCCATGGGGGTGCAGAGGCTCCAGCCATGGGGCAGTGGTTGCTGCAAGGATAGAGAGACACCAGAGACATCCTGCTACTTACCACCGCCGCCCACCACTTCGGCATTTAATAACTTAAAGTTTAATAACTCTTCCATCCTTGTCCCTTCCAGCAGCCATTTCCACTCAGAGCTCTCCCAGAGCTGCCATCCTACTGGAATGATTTCCAGGAGGGCTCCCCCAGGCAAGATTTCCATTATGAGTGACTCACGGATATCCATTTCCCCCCACTTTTGGGGTGAATGGGTGGGGGTTTCTACCCCTGCAAGGAGAGAGGATTGATCATCTCAGATCACGAGGTGATGAGGCTGGATGGGAACATCCCCCACTTCCCACCCCAGCAGGCTGCCTGACCCATGGGTGTCCCCGTGCCAGGAGGACTCTCATGAGCCCAGCAGCCCTTTCTGGACCCTCTGCAGTCTCCGAGACACTGGGAGCAACCAGTGTGGGCTGGAAAGGACTGAGCTGACCGACCACACCAGACATGAGCGCAGCAGGTGTCAACTCCGTCTCCTCCAACGTGCAGCTGAGACCTCCGAGCAGGGCTCTCCTGGCAGATCCAGGGCCTCGCCAGCCAAAGCGGCATGCAGGGCTCAGCTCTGCCAAGGGGCTTTGATACGCTTGGTGTTGTGGGGTGGCTGCAAGAGTCCCTGCCCCTTGTATCATCGGGACGCTGGAGCCAGCGCCAGGCTGCAGCCCCCTTGCTCCTCTGGACCCCCGGCTAGGCTCTATTTTTAGCTGCTCATCCTTATTTAGGAGCAGGGCCAGGCAGGAGCAGGAGCATCAGAGAGGGTCGGGGGCCCCCTGGCCCCACAGGGACAACTGTGTCACCACCAGCCGCGGGGCCTCAAGGGTGAGCAATAAATAGCCCCTTGGGGCAGTCACAGCCACGCTCTGCCTGAGAGCCGCAGGGCAAGTCACGGCCCAGCACTGGGTCTGCTTCCACTTTTGCCATTGGAAAATAAAGGAAGGATTGAAGAACTGTTAAGATAAATTAACCTACATCATCTTTTTTTGTTGGAAAAAGCACAGGCCAGGCAGGAGGAGTGATTTGAAATCTCCGCTCCTAAAAGTGGGAGCGCGTATGAGCTCCAGCCAGCGCTCCTGAGAGCTGGGGGACTCCCCTGGGTGCAACCAAAGGGGTCATTGGCTTTTCCTCTTTGGCTTCAGCACACACAAGAGCCTCTCCAGTGCAAATGATTTTCTGTTTCATCTTGTTATCTTGCACCATGCAAAGCCCAAGTCACGAGGCTGGGGCCTCCTCACAGATCCTGCATTTGATTTGCATTGAAGAGAGCCAGGAAAGATCAAGGGACAATGTTAATCACTTCAAGTTCTTTACAAAAACAAATGACTGCAACAATACGATGCGGCCACAAAGCACAACCACGGACCACCCTCCCCACCACCAGTCTAGCCTGGGTCCAGCCTGACCCCATGCAGAGGCCTCCTTGGCCAAGGGGCTTCATTACTGCACGTTGGGCTGGCCAAAAAAAAAAACTTCCAGTAAAATCTTACCTCCCCCCTGCGTTTTTTTTGGAAGGGCTGAAAACTGGGTTTTGAAATATATATATATATATGTGAGAGATTGATCCCATCAAGTATCTGCTTCCTGCAGTAAATTGTATTTTCATCTGGTAAAATTCATGTCCTGAGAGTGGTTTCGGGTACTAACTTCAACCTCTCATGCAGGGATCGAGCGCCCCACTCACCTCTAGAGCAGCCCGAGGGGCAGTGAGCCCAGGGGCATTGCGGTAATTTGGGTCTCCCACCCAAAACGTAACATGGGGTTTGGGTTGAGCGTCCCGTTAGGACGGACCGGGTGGCAAGAGCAGGAGCCTCGTGGACTTGCATGGTACGAGCAGCCCGGCCACGCACGGACACCCGTGTCCTGCAGGCTCACACTGCTGCCCGCTCCCTCCCGACCAGCCCTCACCAGCTAGAAGCGCAGAGAGCACCGAGACCCTTCAACAGCTTGTGCAAATACCTCTCTTATCCGTGAGCTTTGGCAAACACTTTAAATTAACACCACCGCAAAATAACTCCACGTCAAGTCGGCTGTTATCCCATTTACGGCAATTCAGCCACGAAGGAGATAACCGTGCCCCAGATCAGGTTTCCAGGCAAAACCCTCGTGATATCTCCAGCCACTGACATCCCTGGGGACCCAGGGGAGTGGTGATAACAACCTCTCGTGCTGGCTAAACCAGCCCCCAAATCCCTGACTAGCCCGTGTTATCAGCCCCAAGGCTGGGGCGGGCGCTTGTGGGGCCAGGGCAGCTCCGCTCTGGCCGACGCTCACGGCCTTCTCGCCTCTCACAGCAACTCTTCCTGATGGGGGAAGGAGGGTGGATAGGCGAAATCTGCGCACCAAGGACACAGCCCACACAAAAAAGACTTGAGAAATTAAGGGATTGGTAAAGTAAAGCAAAATCAAGATACCTTTGGGGCATCAGGGACCGACAGCTGCAGCAGGCAGCTGCACGGATGAAGCCGTAGGCTGAAGGAGGGATGTAACCGCATCTGCTGCTGCCTCTTCTGCAAAGTTGGGAGTTTTTAGAAACGGATTTTTTTCTCCGAGAGGGGCCCAGGAGCACTCGGGAGAGGGGAGGCTCCTGCCGGGCTGCCCAGGGCCCCGCTAAGGGCACAAGTCATCACGAGCACCAGTGTTCACAAGCGCAGCTCATGCCCAGACGTGACGTCAGCTGGACACACAGATCTGCTTCTGTCCACAGCTGCGGCCCCAGCGCACGCACGTTCGTCCCAGGAACGCGTGCGCTCCTGTGCTTGCACACACAGGCCTTGAGCTTTGGAAATCTGCACCGGGATTTTCAGTTAACCCTGGAGAGGCGGAGAGCAGCTCCTTGCACTCACCAGCCTTTATCCATCAGAGGATCTCCCAAGCCTGGCAAATAAGTACTCTCATTCTGGGAAGGAGACTTGCCTGTGAATACAATATCAAAGGCGATAAGAGTTGAGATGCTCTTAATAAGTGTCTAAAGCAGCAGCACAGAGTGCCGGGAAGCAGATATGACTCACAAAACTTCACCCAGAGCACCTACCCGAGAGGACTGGTCCCACCAGTCCCTGGGAGACTCCCCACAGCCCCAGCACCGCTCCTGCTTCCACCACCCTCGTGCCCAAGCAGCATTTCACAACTGCCCGGGGAGGCGGGCTGCCCTTCGCAGGTGAGACAGGGCCAACCTCAGCCCAGGAAAACACCCCCAGCTGCCGAGGCTCCTCGGCTGTCTCCCAAGGGCTTATTTGGGAAAACATCAAAATAGAAACTTGTTGAGAAAAACTGGCAATGTTTCCACAAGGACAGAGCCTCGTGACCAGGTTGAAATGCTCTTACTTCAGTGGTGCCGTATGGGAAAGCTTGATTCTTCATGTGCAAATGTATTTTCATTTAGAAACATCAATTACTTCATACTGTCAAAATGGCATCATCAAAACTTAAATATAAAGGAACCTGCCTCACCTCCTATATTTTAGTCAGGGCACTCTCCCTTTTTCCCTCTCTTTTCAGGACCTGTTTCCAAAGCACAGGACTTCCTCCTGGAAATGGGAACCCTGGCTCCAGATCCAGCATTCACAGAATCACAGAATCATAATGGTTGGAAAAGACCTTCAAGATCATCGAGTCCGACTGTCCCAACATTTAGGACGTGGAGCTGAGGTGGGGGTTCACTGGGGCAGCCCTGTCCCTGCTGGACCCCAGCCCTAATGCGGGGGCCCTGCTCCCCTGGCCCAGGCTGGGGTTCCCCAGCCAGAGTGTCCCCATGGCAGGGGGACAGGAGCCTGAGAAGGAGCATCCCCAGGGTGGAGGGTCCCGCTCCTCCTGCCCAGGATGGGGCACCTTGTACGGGGAGCCCTGGGTCTCTGCAGGACGGGGGTAATGCACCCTGGGGCAGCCAGGGACCCCAGTGCAGGGAGTCGTGGGTCAGCACATCCCAGGGCAGGGGGTGCATCCTGGTGCCCAGCACCCGCTCACAGCCCATGCAGCCAGTGCGGGGAGAGCTGCAGCAGTGCAGCCTGGTGCACAGCACCCACTCACAGCTGGTGCAGAGTCCCGGGTCGGTGCAGTTCGGTGCAGAGCATTCACAGCCGGTGTATCCGAGTGCAGAGAGTCCCGGGTCGGTGCAGCTCGGTGCAGAGCACTCACAGTCGGTGTATCCGAGTGCAGAGAGTCCCGGGTCGGTGCAGCTCGGTGCAGAGCACTCACAGTCGGTGTATCCGAGTGCAGAGAGTCCCGGGTCGGTGCAGCTCGGTGCAGAGCACTCACAGTCGGTG